TATATCCTTGCACCTGTTTCTCTTCAGAATCCATCAAAGTGACCTCGAAGCCGATTTTGATCGCCAGCTCCAAAAAGTGAACGACGCCAAAGTGAATAGTTTGAAGCAGGAAGACCTCAAGGTTCAAATGGAGGATTTCCTCAAGGTTCGAAAGGCCTCCGTCGGAATCATTGCTTGACTCTTATGAGGGCGCGACTAAGTGCTGTTCTCGGATTAGGAAGCGGAGACCTGCTTGGACGAGGTGGAAGAGGACCTGCGGGAGCTCCAGTCAACCAGCGACTCTGTGGCGGCGTACTTCTGCGAAGACCCCAGCAAGTTCCGACTGGAGGAGTGTTGCTCAATCTTCGACTCGTTTTGCGACAGGTTTCTACGAGCCATGCAGGTTAGGCCCGTGTTCTGACGCCTTCCAAAAAGTCTCAAGTCAACACTTGATTCCTGAACATGCCTGCGTACGTTCTTGAGTCGTTGTGATGCGCAAAGGCTGAATTGAAGTGCGCTGTGTGGGGTCCTTCAAGGACTTTGTGCCAGTATTTCGAGAGGCTTTTTCTGTTCTACAAAATCGTGGCGTCGTGCACTCCAAATAATGGGACCACTGCCGTATAAATTTGAACCGAAGAAGCCTCTTTGCAAACAGGTCCTCACCAACTAAGTCCAGTTGCCTCGATGCAACTTCCAGATTGATTCGTCACGCTTTGCTGTTTTTCCGCAGGAGAACACGGCCCGGGAGGTGGCCGAGGTGAAACGGCGACACAGGAACCGTCTTCAAAGCGCCGCCAAGCGCAGGTCCACGGCCACCTGCTCAGTCAGAGACAAAGAAATGGAGGGGATCGCTTTGGAGTCCATCCTGCAAAACTTCCTGAGCAACCGGCTCCAGAGGAGAAGGTCGGGACGACCCTCGTCGGTTCACGGCAGCCCGTTGAGCGCAAGCCCCCAAACGGGAAGCCTTTCGGAGATCAGCTCTCAGCCCAATCTCCCCGAGCTGAAATGCGCCGGCTCTTTAAAGGTGGGGGCAATGGCGGAGAAAGAGTGGAATTCAGCTGTGGAACTCAGCGTAACTCCGCAAGAGCGAGAGAAGAGCTTGGACAAGGACACAGATGCTGCGGCCGAAAAGGCGAAGGGAGAGGAAACACTTTGTGCAGTCAAGAACTCGAGCAGTCGGACTCCAAGTGTTTCCTCCTCGGCTCGAACGTTCTCCGCCGCCACGGACGTCGACGAGGACGATATGCAGGACAATAACGAGGAAGAGGCCCAAAAACTGCGCGAAGCCTCGAAGAGGGTTTTACTCTACCAGAGCAAGCAAGGCAGCGTCTCCTCCGCCGAGTTTTCTGTTGAAAACCCCAAAACGCCCAAGACGAGAGTCACCCTGACACGTCAGCGGACCTTTGACATGGAGACCGACCGGTACCCGGGAGACCCGACAAACGAGGATCTGGTCAGATTCTTGCTCAGCTCTCCGCCTTCCTCCAAACCTAACATCCCCCGACGACACACGCTACCAGTGAAAGTCAAGAGGGACGAAGTTGAGGGGGAAGAGGACGACGACTTGTGGGCTCCCATCGCTGGAGCCAGAGACACGCCCCAGAAGACCGCACGCAAGTCCAAGCAAGCGTTTGACTTTCCTGACCTACCTCAAAAACAAGACTCTCAGTCTACCGAATCGGGGCTTAGCCTGGCACCGCCCCTCAGCCGAGACGAGGAGCCAAGCCACGATGAAAACGGTCAAAGTGTCCCACCCGAGAGTTTGTGGAGCAAGTCGGAATCTCCCGGACGGCAGACGAGCAAGGAAACCTCCCGGCAATGTCTCGGTACGGATGTGTAACGCAGTGTTTCTCAACCTTTCTCGAGTCAAGGGAGAGAGCGCCAAAGAAAAATGTCACTTAAAGGATCGCATCCGAACTAATGCTGATCTCGTCCCAGTTTAGAACTGCATCAGGGATCCGGTCGGAGCCCCTTCCTGTTTGCAACAGGAAGAAAGTTATATCCCGTGATCTTTGAACAAGACATTGTGATCTGCAGTGGGCGCGTGGAGCAGGTGGACAAGAATTGAGAAAGGTGGAGGCACAGAAGAAAGGGGGGTAGCGGGGGGCACGCAAGTCCAAGCAAGCGTTTGACTTTCCTGACCTACCTCAAAAACAAGACTCTCAGTCTACCGAATCGGGGCTTAGCCTGGCACCGCCCCTCAGCCGAGACGAGGAGCCAAGCCACGATGAAAACGGTCAAAGTGTCCCACCCGAGAGTTTGTGGAGCAAGTCGGAATCTCCCGGACGGCAGACGAGCAAGGAAACCTCCCGGCAATGTCTCGGTACGGATGTGTAACGCAGTGTTTCTCAACCTTTCTCGAGTCAAGGGAGAGAGCGCCAAAGAAAAATGTCACTTAAAGGATCGCATCCGAACTAATGCTGATCTCGTCCCAGTTTAGAACTGCATCAGGGATCCGGTCGGAGCCCCTTCCTGTTTGCAACAGGAAGAAAGTTATATCCCGTGATCTTTGAACAAGACATTGTGATCTGCAGTGGGCGCGTGGAGCAGGTGGACAAGAATTGAGAAAGGTGGAGGCACAGAAGAAAGGGGGGTAGCGGGGGGGGGGGGTCAGTGAGGCTGCGGGGTGAAGAGATGCAGTACTTGGTGGGTGGAGGGCTTGAAATACATTTAGGTTTGCCAGTCCAGAGTCACGGCGAGCGATGTGAGAAGGTGAAGAAACCGATCCAAGCAGGTCAGAACAGGTCTAGGAAAGTGTCAGGTGGGTCATGTGATAGAAGAGCTTCAGCTTGGGTGACGGGCACGAGAGGTTCTCTTTAGCATTGAAGTGAGGGTGTACGATTACAAATACAAGTTAGGTCATCAAAAGGGACAGCCAAGGTTAGACCTCTTGGAGATGAGGTCAAAGAGACCAGACTTGGACTTGTTCAGAGGGGAGAGAGAGATACAGAGTGAGCGAAGGCTAGACAGGATGATGCGGAAGGTAGGCGGAAAAGGACAACGTGCAGTGGCGACCCCAAACGGGACGAGCCGAAACAAAAGTTGAATGCACACGGAGTGATTTTAGTGTCAGTAACTGCTGGTTGTTTCATGTGTTCTGTAAATGTAAACACAGTCCTGCGGGGTTTGTGTCGTTTGAAATGTAAAATAAAAAGTAAAATCCAATTTGGGCTCCTCGGAACTTCCCTGAGGTATGCCAGATGAGCGGGACTCGGGCCAGAGTAAAAAAAAAGCTCTTCTTGAGTCAGGTTTTCATCAGAAGTCAGCGTTTTTTGCGAGTGCGACCACTAGATGGCAGCATGCTGCAGTCAGACGGAAAGTCGTGCTCAATCAAGACGTTGTGATTTCACGCATGTGGTTATGTTTTGGTGTCAAGCTATCGCGAACTTGACAAAGTTCTTTCTTGTGATGCATGCCGGACCCTCGTAAACATTTCCACATCCCATCTTAGGTGTTTTATTTACACTTGCGATCTTCAAATTGTCCTCCGGTGATGTCATCGGGTGAGTTTTTGCTTTCACACAATCTCGCCTTTGTTTTTTTTTCGGGGCGGATGGGGGCGGGGGGGCGTCGTTTCGAAGGGGCTTAAATGGGTCATTGTTTACAAAGGCGGCCTGTCACTTTGTGGCATGTCGCGAGCGCTGCAGCATTGTTGGCCCACCAAATAAACAAACACCTGACGGTCGGTGAACATGGCAGCTTTTTGCTGCCCCCAACAATTTTTGCCAGCCAAGTCATGTGTCATGACGGGCGGGACAGATTTGGTGCTTAGATCAATTTCAGACATTGAATGTCAAATGTCATCTTGTTTCAGTAAGCAAATCAGTTTGTTTTTTTGTTTTTTTCAGGAAGGTATCATCTCAGTGTCCTTGTAAACATTCCCCTGAACAGTTGGTGGTCCTTCATGAGCGACTTGACTTAATTCCTTAATGATCACATTCTTACATGTTCATGTTTTGACATCTATAAATGTTCAGACTGTATTCTAGGTCGCAGTTGGCGGCCATTTTATCGGAAACAGTTATGACAAACTGCCGTCATAACGGACAGATTTGCTATGTCCCTCGAGGTACCTTGTTGCCAAGTTCGACTGTACCAAATGAATGTCATAGTCTTTGTATGTCATTTATTTATCGAGCTACGTGAATGATGCAGCATATTTTTACACTGAAAACCACCATACTAAAGTTATTGAGACATGATTGTTGCTCTGATTTTGTAAAGGGATCATTTACTGTATCTACTTTTTCAGGCGTTGTCTTAGATGTCAGGGTTTTACCTAATTAAAAAACAAAAAAAAGAGAGGGCATACGCAGGAAGTTTGCTGAATGTCACCTTCGCTCGGTGTACTTGATGCGTACGGTCGGTGCCAGGCTGCGGCGGGCGGCCATGTTGTCGGCGCTCCGGTGTGGAGGCAGTCTCCATGGCAACGCGGCCTTGCAGAATGAGAAGCGGGAGATGACTCTGTGGGCGCCCCACCCCCTTCCAACAAACAACCAGCTGCCTTCACAGCGCAGCTTCACACCACACATCCTGATCAAAGTGCTGATTGTGATTGATTTCGTTCCTTTTTTGAAAAAAAAAAGTAGAACATAACTGAGCTGAACCGAATCATTGGCGTCCCCTGTGCCATCTTGAAATATTCTTTATGAATTATTTAGTCAGGCATCGCGAAGCGGAGACCCCCGCCCCCTCCCCATGGACCACTCTC